TAGTACTATTTGTTAGGAGTAGTAGACGCTTTAGGAAATAAACGAAACGAACCCCTAGAAGAGAGATGCCAGCAATAGCAAGTAAAGCCAGCCCAGCAATAAGTTTGCATATTATAAAATCCAACGTATACTGGTGTGTCAAAGAGGCAGGATATGTTTATGGCATGGTAAATGTAGTAAAAAAATGACATTTACAATAGCTACTGATAATATACGAAGATGAACATACAGTGAGAGAGAGGATCCCAAACGCAACGTATAAAACAAAAAGGAAATTTCATATTTTGTTGAATTTTATAGATCTGTGAGTGGTATGGGTAAACAAAAGACTTAAGACACATACGTATATGCACTTGTTAATACATGGATTTTTGCGTTGTTGCCTGGTGATGATAATAATGATGATTATGATTCCCATAGTAAACTTGACAAGTCATTAAACTTATTTCTATGGGTTTCCAGTTGAATTTTATATTTCACATACCTTTTTAAGAAAATGACACAACTTTTAAACGAAGTATCTAATCAAGTCAATCATTTAATATGCATATTTAGTGTGTGTATGTTTAGCTTTGTAGGTAAGTGCGTGTGTCTTACCTAATTGAAAAAGTTTGTTTACAAATGTTAATTGATTTCGTAAAAGCATAGAACGTTTTTTTTCTGTTTTGTGACGGGAAAAAATATGCATATACACGCATAATTTTGTATTCTTCTTAGTTTTCTCTTAAATTATACGCATTATGCAAGAACAGCAGCAGTACCATCACAAACAATACCTACTATTCCTGCGTCTGTACGTTCGTACGTCTGTCTTAAGCACTTGTTATGTCTTTGTATATTATTTTTCTTTTGTTATTATTATACTGTAAGCAAAACTCATTAAAAAATTTAAGTAAAATAAGAAAATATAATTTTTCTTAGCTTCAGCAGGATATAGTCTACATTTTAAATTTGTTTTAAAAACTAAATCTTAAATTTTCAATAAAATAGTTTAGAATTTTTTAGCATATTACTAACATTTTTCCACTGAGTGTTTAAATAAAAAAATCTACAACTAGTTGAATTAACAAGAGGAAAGACATGCAAATTGTACAATATGTACAGCATAACAATCCTTTTGGAAACAGTCAGTTTTCCTTTACCTACCATGCCATTTTTTTTTGTTTTATTTTTTTGCTTAAAACTTAGACATAACTACATAAGTTAGTTCTTAAGCTCATATATGCCTTTATATATGTATGTACATAAGGATGTTGTATATTTGTTTGTAAATGTTTAAAAGAAAACTGCCATTACCTTTTTAAGTTATCTCTAAGAACTCTTCAAAATGATTCAACAGATCACGATTGTACAAAGTAACTAGCAAATAATAAAACAACCAGCCAACGAACCAACCAACTAACTAACTAACAAACAAATAAACAAACTTACTTAAACTAACAATTTATGTTGAATTTTTCTAAAGAAAAATTTGCATTTCAACTTGTTAAGACCATCCTTTTCTCTAATTGTCAATCATACGAAAAAATATACAAAAATGGGATTTATTTTGTGGAAAAAAAAGAACAAAATAGCATACAAATAAAAGCACATTATAATGAGAATGATTAGAATATTATTAAATTTGGTTTGAAATGTTTAAAAAAAATTGTGCACAATTTCTTGCTTAATTGAAAATTTACTATCTGATTTTGTTTAGATTTTTATTTTTAATTGTATAGATTTTTGGTACGTAATTGTAATTGTTGATTTTTTGACCCTGAAGAGCATTTTTTTGAAATCATTTTAATTATCGAAAAATTCCCTTTTTAAAGACAATTTTCGAAAAATTCTCTTTTTATATACAATTTTCGAAAATTCTTCTTTTTATAGACAATTTTCGAAAAAGTCTCTTTTTATAGATAATTTTCGAAATATTCTCTTTTTATAGATAATTTTCGAAAAATTCTCTTTTTGTAGATAATTTTCGAAAAATTCTCTTTTTATAGATAATTTTCGAAAAATTCTATTTTTATAGATAATTTTCGAAAAATTCTCTTTTTATAGATAATTTTCGAAAAATTCTCTTTTTATAGATAATTTTCGAAAAATTCTCTTTTTATAGATAATTTTCGAAAAATTCTCTTTTTATAGATAATTTTCGAAAAATTCTCTTTTATAGATAATTTTCGAAAAATTCTCTTTTTATAGATATTTTTCAAAAATTCTCTTTTTACAGATAATTTTCGAAAAATTCTCTTTTTACAGATAATTTTCGCAAAATTCTCTTTTTATAGATAATTTTCGAAAAATTCTCTTTTTATAGATAATTTTCGAAAAATTCTCTTTTTATAGATAATTTTCGAAAAATTCTCTTTTTATAGATAATTTTCGAAAAATTCTCTTTTTATAGATAATTTTCGAAAAATTCTCTTTTATAGATAATTTTCGGAAAATTCTCTTTTTATAGATATTTTTCGAAAATTCTCTTTTTACAGATAATTTTCGAAAAATTCTCTTTTTATAGATAATTTTCGAAAAATTCTCTTTTTATAGATAATTTTCAAAAAATTCTCTTTTTATAGAAAATTTTTGAAAAATTCTCTTTTTATAGAAAATATTCTGAAAAATTCTCTTTTTATAGAAAATTTTGGAAAAATTCTCTTTTTATAGAAAATTTTCGAAGATTAAAAAGTAAATGCTCAGAATAAAAAATCTTCTGAGCATTTACTGAGCATTTCATAGAAATTTTTTGAAAAATGTATTCGTAATAAAAAAAACACAATTTTTATTATTATTCCCCATCTTCAACAATTATTTTCAATTATTATTGAAGTCCTCTAAAATCAATAACAATAAAAACTAATTTAAAAAAAGCCTTAATTGAATTGCTGTGATTTTATTATAAAATACAAGTGCAGACATTATATGCCTCGAGGATATTTGTTGATCACTCTGCGAATGTTTCTTTAAATGTTCTTTTAGTTTTCGTTAAGAGGGGCGTATGTTGCCACATGTAAAACCAATGAAATACATTTGCACTTACGAAACAACAATTGGGATAAACATTTTTATTCGTACATACATATACATACTCTCCACATGTACTTCAATTCATTTATTCAGTTGCACAATAAAAATAAACTGCATTGGAAAAAGGATGAAAGATGGGAAGTTTGGCAACAAAAAAATCACAGGGGTTATAAGGAACAATATGTTTTTGTCTTACAGAATGTTATTATAAATTAACACAACGATGACTTAAGATCCCGGTAGGAAATTGCGTTTTATTTATATAATATTCTATAAATCTCCGTTGTAATCACAGATATTTTGAACAATTTTATTTCGAATATTTGAAATCAAATTCCTATAGGGATTTTCATTTATATGTATATCAGCCACAATAATTCATTGTGTATTTTATTTCCAGATTTAATTGTAATGTACAATAAGGTAAAATAACACATGTCCACCCTCTATGTTTGTTGAATTGTTTTTTCTTTCGTGTTTTTATTTTTCTATAAAAATTTTGAATAAAATTCCTACTCATAGAAGCACGAGTATTACAACAAGACACCAAAAAAAAATACAAGTCGAAAGTTTTAAGGCAATAACGCTCATAAAATACTTTATAATTTAATTTATGCTAAACGTATCCCAGTCCAATGCAATTCCAATATACGTTGAACACTGTTTGTACATTGGTACTTTATCTATGCACAATGTATATGACGTATGTTTAGGATTCTGTACATCTTTCTTATAAAACACCACCTACTTTTTTTTTGTTTGTGGATTCGTTTCTAGTGGATGCTATATGTTATAGGGAAGTGAGAGTTAACAATAGGTATCGGTTTGTAACATAATATGAACGGGGTTGTAATCACTGATATTGTTTTGAGAACATTTTTTAAAATTTTTATTTTAAGAACAAAATTTCAAAATTATCTTATTTTTAAGAAATTTCTATTTTTTATGAAAATTTTTCGATTCGAGTTTTTTTAATTTTTGTAGAAATTTTTCTTCATAGAATATTTTTCAAAAATCTCTGTTTAGGGAAATTTAAAAAATTCTTCTCTTTTAAAAAAGTTTGCGAAAATGTTTCTCTTTGTAGAGTATTGCCAAAAATGATAAACATTTTTTTTCTTTTGTTGAAAATTTCTTTTATAAATAATTTTTAAAAAATTATATTTTTACAAAACAAAAATATTACATTTCGTAGCGTACCTATTGGTATTGAAAAATAAAATAACAGCATGATCGTAATTTTGTTTAATTTTAGTAGACAACTTTTACACATTCTGACCGTGTACAACTAAAACCCAACTATAGTTAAAACCTTCCTCCACTTAACTTTGGTTATCGATCCTAGGCAAACAACACAGAACAAGAATTTCTTAAGACTATCTAAAGTACTCCTCATATGTTCAGTACTTTAGAGTTGTTCAATTGAAGTATAAAAAAAGAGTTTCTCTTAAATTATGATTTTATAAGCTAGCGGCAAATTTCCACAGTTCATTTATCATTTAAACTAAATTGTAAATGTCACTATAGAAAAAGATTTCTAGACAAGGCCCATAAGGACATGTTGCAGCATACACGGCTAAAGAGATTGTGGATATTTTTTTGTTTTGTTTGTAGTTTTTATTTACTTAGACCAAGATCATAAATTGTTTGCAAAATAGAGGGTGTAGTGCGTGTTTAGGTTTAATAAATTGTACTCATTTTGTTTGACAGTTTAAAAAGACCGACTTAAAACCAAAATGACAACATAAACGAAACATACATAAAATACATGAAAAATACATTTATTCGTATGTTGTACGTTTAGTTCTTTAGCTTAGACTTTATTTGTTCTGAACGTATTCTTTAATTAATACGTACAATTATGAAATGAACTAGAGATGTGTTCTTGCCCTTTTTTCTTTCTATATTTTGTAAATAAATTTTGTGTCTAGTTTTTCTTTTTGCTTAAAGTTAAAGCAAATAAACATTTTATGGCTTTTTTGTATTTGCAGTTTCTTGCAGTTGTATGCTGTGTTGGTAGTTTGGTTGCTTTGGTTAAGGCTTTGTGCGCAATCAACAAAATTGTATGTTGTCAAGTGTCGTGTTTATCATTCTAGAGCTAGAGTTTAGTTGGCTACTGCACATAGTACCAACTTACAACATCAACAGCAACAGAAACAAGACAATGTCACAAAAGTCAACACAAACAACAAGAATACTTAAAATCGAGACAACAAAAACAACAACATTAATAGCAACAACAACAATAATACAAACAACAGTAGCTGCTAACATTAGCTGCAACACAGCAACATCAACAGCAGCAGCATGAAAACAAACAACATTAGCGGCATAGCAACTTGTAATATGGTATGTTTATGCTTCCAAGATACAAAAAGGTGATAATTATTATATAAAGTAAGATGAACTTAGAGGATATGCAAAAATGGTAAGTAGTCATAGTAGAGTCATAGTACAAGTTGTTGTCATTGTAAAACAAATAAAACAAAAAACACACACACTCACAGGCACATTTTTCACATTATAATATAACTATATCCCAGCAAGAAGTTTAAAGGAATAGGAAAGAACTATATTAAGTAAAATTTAACAAAAACTTTTTTAAAAAATTTATTGCCTGGTTATCCTTTTCTGGGATGTGTAGGCTCTATAGTCAGACTACTTTAGCCTCCTCTTAATATGATGAAATGTTAACGATGACGACGACAATAATTGCAAAACGTTTGGAGTGTTGTCGCGACTCTATTTGTTAAAATTTACTCAAAACAAAAAACAATATCATACATACATCACTATGCTAATATTTAAGTAGTAAATTACGATGTTGTCTACACTTGTGTTCTAACAAGCACTTTTTAGATGATTGCATGCATATGAAGGTTATACTGACTAAGATTAATTTTCTAGCATCATTTTTGCGGTCTAGGTGCCAGTACAACTGTGCAAATAACCTTTGAGTTTATTTAGGAAAGACCAAAGTCGAGGTTTTTGTTTAACTTTTTTTAGTAAGCAGACTTTTAAAAGACTATTATAATGTAAGTGGAAATTTTTTAAAATATTGCTGGAAAGGATTCTCTTTTCAACTCAGCGGAATCTTCTATTAATATGCCCTATTTTGAAACAAACCTAACAATCTAACTAGAACTGAAGTTGAACTGAAGTAAAGTAGAAGTAGAATGAATTAGAACTGAACTAGAACTGAACTAGAACTGAACTAGAACTGAACTAGAACTGAACTAGAACTGAACTAGAACTGAACTAGAACTGAACTAGAACTGAACTAGAACTGAACTAGAACTGAACTAGAACTGAACTAGAACTGAACTAGAACTGAACTAGAACTGAACTAGAACTGAACTAGAACTGAACTAGAACTGAACTAGAACTGAACTAGAAATGAACTAGAACTGAACTAGAACTGAACTAGAACTGAACTAGAACTGAACTAGAACTGAACTAGAACTGAACTAGAACTGAACTAGAACTGAACTAGAACTGAACTAGAACTGAACTAGAACTGAACTAGAACTGAACTAGAACTGAACTAGAACTGAACTAGAACTGAACTAGAACTGAACTAGAACTGAACTAGAACTGAACTAGAACTGAACTAGAACTGAACTAGAACTGAACTAGAACTGAACTAGAACTGAACTAGAACTGAACTAGAACTGAACTAGAACTGAACTAGAACTGAACTAGAACTGAACTAGAACTGAAGTAGAACTGAACTAGAACTGAACTAGAATTGAACTAGAACTGAACTAGAACTGAACTAGAACTGAACTAGAACTGACCTAGAACTGAACTAGAACTGAACTAGAACTGAACTAGAACTGAACTAGAACTGAACTAGAACTGAACTAGAACTGAACTAGAACTGAACTAGGACTGAACTAGAACTGAACTAGAACTGAACTAGAACTGAACTAGAACTGAACTAGAACTGAACTAGAACTGAACTAGAACTGAACTAGAACTGAACTAGAGCTGAACTAGAACTGAACTAGAACTAGAACTGAACTAGAACTGAACTAGAACTGAACTAGAACTCAACTAGAACTGAACTAGAACTGAACTAGAACTGAACTAGAACTGAACTAGAACTGAACTAGAACTGAACTAGAACTGAACTAGAACTGAACTAGAACTGAACTAGAACTGAACTAGAACTGAACTAGAACTGAACTAGAACTGAACTAGAACTGAACTAGAACTGAACTAGAACTGAACTAGAACTGAACTAGACTGAACTAGAACTGAACTAGAACTGAACTAGAAACTGACTAGAACTGAACTAGAACTGAACTAGACTGACTAGAACTGAACTAGAACTGAACTAGAACTGAACTAGAACTGAACTAGAACTGAATAGAACTGAACTTAGAACTGAACTAGAACTGAACTAGAACTGAACTAGAACTGAACTAGAACTGAACTAGAACTGAACTAACTGAACTAATACTGAACTAGAACTGAAACTAGAACTGAACTAGAACTGAACTAGAACTGAACTAGAACTGAACTAGAACTGAACTAGAACTGAACTAGAACTGAACTAGAACTGAACTAGAACTGAACTGGAACTGAACTAGAACTGAACTGAACTGAACTAGAACTGAAGTAGAACTGAGCTAGAACTGAACTAGAACTGAACTAGAACTGAACTAGAACTGAATTAGAACTGAGCTAGAACTGAACTAGAACTGAACTAGAACTGAACTAGTGAACTACAACTGAACTAGAGCTGATTTATGGTAATGATGACTAGATGGTTAATAACATATTCTTTCCAAAAAGATCACTCTCACTTTGTAAACTGTCAAATATGTTGTCGTAACCAGCAGTAGGCTTACTTTAGATATAAAATAGGTTAATGCTAGTTTACACTTTCTTTTATATGCTTATTTTACAATAATTTCGAATAGAAATCACTTTTTTGCATTGAATTTTTATTTTCTTTTATGCAGTTATTTTTGCAGAAAAATTTCTTCTCTTTGTTTTTATTTATACCCATATAGTTTTTGTTGTGTGTTGTGCTCCATTGCCTCAGTAAATTACTTTAGTTTTTTTCAACATTTATTTAAAATTTGTTTCTTAAAACTATTGTGTGTATTTTCTGTTGCAATTACTTTCTTTTAAATAATGAAAATAACAGCTAAACAAATAATAACAATTTAAGGCCATGTTTAGAGGAAGCTTAGACGAATTTAAGGGGTACTCTATGACAATTTTATACAAGTTTTCAATGTTCTAATTATTTAATAGTAAATTCAAATCGCATTTGTTCATAAGATAAGCGGTCTTCCAGTTATTTACATTATAATCTACTCTATAGTTTTGGAAAAGTCTGTGCTACGCAATGCATGAACAATTGGAAAAGGTAATAGTCGAATTACAAATCTCTACTGCCCAGTAATGCTCCCTCTCTCAGTTATGTTTCTAAATTATTTAAGAGTTGAAATATTAAGAAAAGTATTATACGGTGTTAGTTTGCGTAAAACAAAATCTTTAACTAATTCACTCATTCTCATCTTCCATGGTGCAGATATTTCTTTTATAAACAAAATCCATTGAATTTATCGTTGAATTAATGGCAAGTATTTGCTATTAAATATTTAATAAAAACATACTCCACTTGTGTATATATAAACTTCATTAAATATTTTAAAAATGCAATTTTTCTATTTGTAAACTAAAAATAATGTGTGAGTATTTCGAAGAGCGAGCGATCCTGTAGCTTTTTCTAACTTCATTAAAAATTAAAAATAGTTTTTTTTTGTTATTTTTGGTTACCAAAGCTAAGATTATCTACGTTATAAGTATCCACATTCATTATTATACTTGGTAAGCAAGTCACCATACAATCCTGACACAAGATTGTAATCACTGTCTTTAGCCAAGAAAAAGGGTTTAGTGATTTAAGAAAAATATAAAGATGCAGCAAAAAAAAAAAAAAAAGCGAAAGAAAAAACCAAAAGTTTTCTTCTATTAGAGAGAAAACTCAAAATGAGCCCTACAAACAGCCATCCTTTTTGGAAGCGTTAATCTGTTGTGGCAAATCTATAACTCTTAACTAGACCTACAGTTTGTCTAGTTCCATGTTGTTGTCGTTGTGCTTTTCTCTCTCGTTTAGTTTGGTGTCCAAAAAAAAGCCTTAAGGTTTTTGGTTTCATTAAAAGCCAAGTGATTATAGCAAGTTCATCGGTTGTGTTAAGCATTTAAAAAAGTAAGTAAGCAATGACTGACGGCAACCAAGAGTGAATAAGTATCTGCAACATTTTACACTTATCTGTACGATGAATCTGGCCGTTAAGTATGTGTATGCTGGTGATCATTGTTAACTAACAATAAGTGAAAATAATAGTGTTTGAGGAACGGTTTTGTTATTATTTAAAGAGAATTAAGAAAAACCGGGTTTGTAGAATGGTTTATTTACCGCGATAACTATTCCAAATAATTGAACTAGTATTGAACTGAAGTAGAATTGAATTATAACTAAACTGAACTAAAACTGAACTAGAACTGAACTAGAACTGAACTAGAACTGAACTAGAACTGAACTAGAACTGAACTAGAACTGAACTAGAACTGAACTAGAACTGAACTAGAACTGAACTAGAACTGAACTAGAACTGAACTAGAACTGAACTAGAACTGAACTAGAACTGAACTAGAACTGAACTAGAACTGAACTAGAACTGAACTAGAACTGAACTAGAACTGAACTAGAACTGAACTAGAACTGAACTAGAACTGAACTAGAACTGAACTAGAACTGAACTAGAACTGAACTAGAACTGAACTAGAACTGAACTAGAACTGAACTAGAACTGAACTAGAACTGAACTAGAACTGAACTAGAACTGAACTAGAACTGAACTAGAACTGAACTAGAACTGAACTAGAACTGAACTAGAACTACTACTGAACTAGAACTGAACTAGAACTGAACTAGAACTGAACTAGAACTGAACTAGAACTGAACTAGAACTGAACTAGAACTGAACTAGAACTGAACTAGAACTGAACTAGAACTGAACTAGAACTGAACTAGAACTGAACTAGAACTGAACTAGAACTGAACTAGAACTGAACTAGAACTGAACTAGAACTGAACTAGAACTGACTAGAACTGAACTAGAACTGACTAGAACTGAACTAGAACTGAACTAGAACTGAACTAGAACTGAACTAGAACTGAACTAGAACTGAACTAGAACTGAACTAGAACTGAACTAGAACTGAACTAGAACTGAACTAGAACTGAACTAGAACTGAACTAGAACTGAACTAGAACTGAACTAGAACTGAACTAGAACTGAACTAGAACTGAACTAGAACTGACTAGAACTGAACTAGAACTGAACTAGAACTAGAACTAGAACTGAACTAGAACTGAACCTAGAACTGAACTAGAACTGAACC